CCAACTTGTTCTGCAATCATTTTAGTAAGAATGTGGCTTCATACTCTGGGACTCTGAAGCCCTCCTTTAGAAGTAGGAGTTCTATAAGGTACATAGGAAATTTGAATTCTAAATAGGTTAGGAACATCTGCAAGGTGGAAATATCTCTTGGGATCCCCAGCTTCTGAGAGTGAGCACTTCCATTCAATGAAATGGGATGAAGGAAAAACATTTTCTATTCATCTTCAAAAATGGCCACATTTGAAAGTACTTCCAGAAGATTGTAACAAAAAAAAAAAAAGAAAATGAAGTTCAAAGGTAAGTTTAATTTCATGCTTAAAACATTTGAAATCCATACCTAGTGCTTTTATAATCTGTATTTTCTGTGGATGTTTTTAAAGACCTTCCTAGGCACAGATTTCAAAAAAATGTTTGCACCCAAATAAACTTATTTTATACTTCCTTTATTTTCCATTGACATTTGGAAGTACTCCCTTATTCTGGGGCCTTTGTCATTCCTGCCCCTCCAAACTAGAATCAGTATGGTAGATGCTTTAACAAATAGAACTGCATCTTTCACAAGATATAAGCAATGAGATCTTTAAAGACCCAACACCCAATCCAGTATTGAAGCAGTGTGGGTCCTAGATGCAAAAAGGATAGCCTGAACAGTACTAGGCATGTTCAGCTGGTGTGTCTGTCCAGTCACAGACTCTGCTTTTCCTGATGATGGGGTTAGTCCACATCCAGAAACACTGCAAGGAAATGAATAAAATTTGACTTTCCCTGGGGCAGTCAAAATTATAATGACATTGCTACAGATGCAAGCAGGAAGGCATGGCATTACTGATGTGCTTTCAAGCAGGGAAGGCCAATGTTTACAGGAAATAACAGATGCTGCTGCTGGGGACCGTTACAGAGATCATGTAGCAGAAGCTGAGCCTCTCCTGGCTTTGTATCATGAACCATGACTGTGCCTATGATACGTTCCCCTTACTCCTTGGCCTTTATTGTTTCCTGGGAAATGTTTGTTGTCTGCCCTTGTGACCACTTCTTGTTGTGAAGAATTTCCTTGGTCATTACTGGGATTTCTCTACATGGATGTATTTAATGACTGGGGCCATCCCTGAGAGTTAGGGCACCAGCTACTAATTGCCCCTTGCTCCAGTAAGGCAATAGATTATCAAATGTCACTTTGCACTTCTCATTCACTCATTACAGTCACCTGCAATCTTGGAGAGGCTGAGTATTGATCACTATCCTTAATCCTTTGGGACCTCATCCTTAGTGGATTCCCTTGGTTGAGATCTATTGAGTTCTCGGGGGGCAGGGATAACTCACTGTCAGGTGCTACAGCTTTTAGGAAGGGATTCCAGAAATGAACAGAAGAGGCATATTCACTTCCTGCCATGTAAAGCATATAAAAGGGAACTGAATAAAAACTCCACATTCTGATGAAAACCACTGCTAGAAACCAGGTCAGTCATGTTTCAAATTGGGTAGTCTCTCTTTTCACCTGATACTCAGAAAACAATATTTCTCAGAGCACAGATGTTACTAGAAAAGAAAAAAAAATGCCCATGATCAAATAAGTCTGGGAAATGCTGGATTAAATAAAATTGGAGAGCTTTCTTTCTTATAAGACTTTTTAGATCCTTTGATCTGCTAATTGCACCAGGATGCTTGAAGATAGAGTTTAAATATGCAGCATTTTCCCAAAATTCTTCACCCACTGAATCTTTCTTTCAAGACTTTTCTCACGGGACTAATGTCCTAAAAGTTACTTTGGGAAATGCTAGTCTAGACTTATAATATTTGGTTTCAATTTCTGTCAAGGAGAACACAAAATTGTAGTAAAGGAGAAAGAGACAGGGGGAAAAAAACGGAAAAAGAACATAATTCTGCAAATATGTGGCAATACTTGAATTTCCTAAGGAGAATGAATTGCTCTGCAAAAGGAGCAAGTGACTGATTTTTCATATTTCTTTGTTTCTATGTGTTCTGATCTCTTAACCCAGCCCAAGAGGCAGTGTCAGCACTGTGGAAGTCCATTGTCCAAAAGAGTTACTGGTCAATCCTTTTGACTACAGGAAGACCAGGGTCGGAAGATTCATGGGAAAAGAATCAGAAATCCCTCTAAGAGGTTTTTCACCTTTAAGTCAGCTTAAGCTAACATGGATACATTTTGGACAGCTCGTTTAAATCTCATCCAAATCAACCCATTACTAAGACTCTCACGTTGTCAGATAATGATATAAGGCAGTCATTTTCTCCTAAGTAGCTTGGCTCCATACGGTTTAGTAAATGTGGCCTCTCACAGCAATAGGTAGGGTTTGTAATCAACTGGGAAATCAACTTCTTAGCACTTCAAAACTGTTTCATTCTAGGATTGAAATGTACAACAGTTCATATAATGGCATACATCTTGTTGATGACTGATTTTCAAAATCCTTTGTCCAAGTCTTGGGGCACTTAATTAAAAAGAACATATTATCCACAAGATATATCTATCTTTATCACTGAAGCCAAACTAATCTTATTCAGGGTTCTTAACTCTCACCCAGTTGCAAGGATTCAAGGAAAGGAGCCTCATGACCTTGTTGACTTCAACTGACATCCACAATGGCATTTCGCCCTCACCGTCAAACCTACTGCAGAGTAAGTTCCTCGGTCATGGGCCCTTAACTTACTAATAATTACCCTTTATTTATCTTGTTCTGATTGACATGAGTCAGGAAAGAATTGAACCAGACATCCCAGGATCTCAATTCTTGTCCTAGGACCAAATAACAAACTTCTTGGAGGTAAATGCTCTGTGTGGTCCATCACACTCTTCCCCTAGCTCCACAGAGTGGCTGGCATGGAATAAATGAGCTGAATGAGATTAGGAGCTGCAGTGAGTTCATCTCCCTCTAAGGGTCTGGGTTTCCCATCTGCAGAAGAGGAAGGGGCCACCTTCCTTCATTGCTGTGCATCAGTTACAATACTCCGTGGGATGGAGGATGTGAAAGTTAAAAACTATCACCCTCCGCTAACAGCACCAGTGACAGAAATACACGAAAAGCCTTTAAACCATGCCTTGGCCAGACACTCTTCAAGAAATGCTAACCCTTGCAGGGAGGGACCCACCCCTTCGTAATCACAAGCTCTAGTGTCTATGCACACAGAGAAGAGGGTCAGCCCAGGAGGTGTGACACTCTTGTTTGTGACTACAGATTTCTGGAAAAGTAGAATGAGATCATTTTTTGGAAAGCAGTACTAATTGCAGGGCAGGTAAATCTGATCTGGTGACCCACTGTCAGCAGGTGCATTGGTATTCCTGTCTCTAGGATGGGATAAAACAGCCTGCTATCTCAGCAGGTCTTAGGGGCACCCGCTCTTTGATCCAAATCCTTCTTTTGTTCCTTACAGAGTTCTCTGCTTCTGTCTCCCTGGGGTGGGGGCTAGGGGTGAGAAGAATCCCCAGTGGTCTTCTAGTATGCATGGCTCAAAGGAACAGCCCGGGGAGGGGGGGGAGGCGGGGAGAATTGGCAGCCACCCCTTACCATGACCAATATTCACATGGACTTGGCACAGAAGAATGGCAAGGAATAAAGGGCAATATGCCAAGGGCAGGGACCAAGAATAAGGGTAAAGACACTAAACTGGCAAGTACATTGGTGGTGGTGTGGGGAGAAGGAGTAAAAACTGAATAAATCAAACCAAGTCCAAGCAAAAACACAGACATATAAGATGTCATAAAGTTAATCTCTCTCTCCACTTTCCAGATCTCCAAACAGCCCTGTTTTGAGAGCTAAAAGCCCAGGCTGCTGCCATTCTGCACTTGGCCTGAGAAATCTGCTGTCCTGTGTGAACACCATGTGCAGTGATGGGGTCTCTGAGGGCAAACGTGTCTGGGTGTGAGGACTGGCCAAAGCTAGGGAGGATGTCTGGTGGAAGCGGCCTTACACATCCAGGGAGGGCTTCCAATGCTGTGTTCTGTCACAGGTCTCTCTCGAGCTGCACTCCCAGCAAAGGATCTTAAAGAAGCACTTTGCACTTCTCCCCTGGGATGCTCGTGACATGAGTTATAAAACGGAAATACAGTTATGTGAAAAAAAAATCCATAACATTTTAAGGAATTGAATAAATTCCTTTTCCCCCAGGAAATAGTTAGGCTTCTTTTCCACACAGGGTGATTCCAACAAGCCCTTCCCATCCTAAATCCAAAGGTCTTTCCTCTATCTCCGTGGTCCTATTCCTCTATCTATCTCTCACACCCTCTGAAACTTCCAGCCTACATTACAGCAGGACTACCTGACAGAGACATCATAGCGCAACAAAGGAAGACATACGGTTAATGTTGACTATGTTAGCCGGAGAGTTTGTACACAATTCACACTCGAGGGTCTTAATACCAGAAAGTGTAAATGGTTTTTGCGTTGATGGGTGAGTGTGAGTTTCACAGAAATCCACAGGCGGTCTGTGCTTGGGTCGATTCATCTTTCCATTTGCTTTCCTTCATTGAGGTAGAAGACACAGTCCAAAGCAAATAAACCACATTTTTTTTTTGACTTACTGGTTGAAATGCCAACAGAAAGCGTTTCTCTTCCTGTTGTTTCTCTCCACCATTAATTTGCATCACTAAGGAATTTTCTAGGAAAACGCTCAACAAACAAGGCTGCACTGGTTGCCAAGCATATAGAAACAAAGTACTGCCTTTTGAAACTCCAAAGAGACATTCCAGAGTAACCCAGCATTAGAAACCGAGCCAGCAATACACTACCTATCTATGAAAGAAGAAAGAAGGGGAGGAAAGAAAATGCATAACATAAACAATAAAAGACAAAACCTTAAGAGAGGAAGGAGAAAGGAAAACATTTAGATTCCTTGAGTGATGGAAATAAATACCAAAGCTATTAGTTTCAGTTCAAAGAACATATCACTTTATGCTGTTTATTATTTCTTGAGGATTATTTATTTTATCTTAAACTATCCAAAGGGTAAAAAGGGTCTTGGAGGTATGCGGCATTGAAACTGACCTGGTCCGGAGAGGGCCTGTGATTGGAATGCTGCGACCTCCCAGGAGATCGATGGTGGTGGTGGTGGTGGTGGTGGTAGTGGTGGTGGTCTTCGCTGTAGTTGTCTGCCATCAGCTTCATTCGGTTCTGGGTCTGAGTGGAACAAAAGCCAGAGAATGGCCCATCAGGAGCTAGAAATCCAGCCGGTGAGACTTGGGGCATCATTACAGCACCTGTGGGTCTCTCCTTTGGCCCCCCAATCCAGAATGTGTCATTTTTAGTCACATAGAAACTTAAAGAGGCACTGTAACATTGTTCTAGCTATTCCATTACATCTGAAGGTGTCAACATATTTGTTCCTTGGACTCCCAAAGGAGGAAAGAAAATGGGATGTCTTCTAGGGTGCTTTGCTTTGCATGTTATCAAGCATGCATGGGAACTCCAGAGTAAGGCTGCAGCCGCAACGTGCTAAGGGTCACATGGTACACTCTAGAGCAAGCCAGGGAATGAAACCCTGGAAGAAAAGGTGGGGAGGGATTGGGTGGAGACACAGAAGCACAAATAATGGTTTCACAAGACAAGGCATAGCAAGTCCTTTTTGAAAAGCAACAATACTGATGGGCATGGCTGATTGCTATGATGACGTCTTGGGAAAGAGCTCTCCGCAGATGTTTAACCTGATAATATTCCTTGTGGGGAGTGAATAACAGGATCCAAGTTCAAGGCACAAGAGCTGATGACTCTAATTTATGTCCTGTGATTTCTGTCATATAAAGCTACTTGGTGTCACAGTGATGAATTGACCAGAATAGGTTCACAGACTTAGAAAAATACTTCTTAAAAAAAAAAAAATAGGGCCTGGCGAGATGGTGTAGTGGTTAAGGTCCTCGCCTTGCACTCCCAGGATCCCATATGGGCGCCGGTTCTAATCCCGGCAGCCCCGCTTCCCATTCAGCTCCCTGCCTGTGGCCCGGGAAAGCAGTCAAGGACGGCCTAAAGTTTTGGGACCCTGCACCCTCGTGGGAGACCCCGAGGAGGCTCCTGGCTTCGGATTGACTCAGCTCCAGCCGTTATAGCCTCTTGGGGAGTGAATCATCAGACGGAAGATCTTCCTCTCTGTCTCTCCTCTCTGTATATCCGCCTTTCCAATAAAAATAAAAACAAATCTTTAAAAAAAAAATAAATAAATAAATAAAAATACTTAAAATCATCTTGCTGAGAAAGACAGCAAGTGTGAGTTTGAGGGGTGGACATTTTATTTAGGAGTTAAGACATCTGTTAAGATATCCACAAGCCACATTGGAATATCTGGGTTGGATTCCTGCCTCCTGCTCGACTCCAGCACCCTTGCTAAGGCCAATCCTGGGAGGCAGTGATAATGCTTCAATTAGTTGAGTTGCTGCTGCCCAATGGGAGAGCTAGATAAATGTCTGGCCTCCTAGCTTTGACCCTGGCTCAACCCTAGCTCCTATGACATTTGGGGAGTCAGTCATTGGAAGGGAGCTCTTTCCATCTGTCTGTCTCTCTCTTTGTCTCTGTCTCGGCCCCTTCCCAAAACAAACAACAACAACAACAAAAAGGTTTTGTGGATAGGACAGTTGGTTTCAGGTCCTATTCCACCTCTTGGCAGTTTATGTGGTCTAATGAGAGTTGACTGTTAATGAACCTCTATTTCCTCAATGGGAGTCATAATATCTTCATTTCTGGGTTTCACGTGGGGAGCAAATGATAGGGTGGATTTCAGTCTGGTACCCAGTAAGTAATGAATTGCTAGAAAGCATCACTTGGCATCATTATTACTACTGAATCTGCTGCTTCCTGTGAGAAGCGTCTCCTTGGTATGTGCCATTTTGTTTGTCAGCAACGCTTTCTCTGGTCCCCTTCCTCACTTCTTAATACACACTCTGCCTAACTCAGGTTTCTCTAGGCTCCTTTGCCTGACTTCTCCCTTGAGGCTAAGTGGCGCCTGCCTCCTGCCAACAGGGTTCTATAACCAGACTTGTTTGTCGGTAGATTTTGGCCTACTTTTTTTTTTTTTTTAATTTATGTTTCATGATACAGTTGCATTGGCTCAGAGTCCTCCCCTTCCACCTTCTCCATGTCTTATCCGCTCCCCACCAACTCATTCCTCCTACATTATTACAATAGTATAGTACTCCAGCAATAGTCACAAGTCCATCATTCTGCTGTTTCAGTGTATCATGACATTGCAGAGTGCCTATGGCCTATTTCTTTCATCAGCTTTCCCTTCCCAGAATCTAGTACAGAGTCTTGAAGGTGTGGACACACAACACTTGCTCCCATAATGAGCAACGGAAGGGACGAAGAGAGCCATGAATGTGACCGGGCCTCTAATCTCAAAGCTGCACATTTGTTTTCATTAAGATGGTTGCTGAGGTTTGAGGACACCTCATGAATTGCCATGATAATCCCATTGGTGGCTCAAGATAACAATAAGTCATCGAGACCTAAAGAGACAGAGAAGTCAGGGCCTTGTGGGAGCTCTGACCAGCTGAAATTTGATTACATAATCATCAGTAACACTCTGATAATAAAGGCAATGCTGGAGAAAAAGCATGCATGCTTGTCGTATTTTTCACATACAATCTAAGTTGTTCTGAAAACTTTCCTGGGAGGAATTGTTCCTATCTTCATTTGGCACCAGGAAGAGTCGTGGATAGATTTTAGGCCCCAGAGTTCCCTTTGTGACATTGAATAAGGAGGTTTTCTGGTTCTTCTAATTCCCAATCTCTAGGGTATGCTCTTTGCCTTGCTGTTAGCAGAAAACAACTGCACAGGTAGAAATTGCTTTCCCATAAAGCTTTGGTTCTGTTAAGTTTTGGAGACACTTCACATCCTAGCTCTACCTGCCAAAGGATGTCTCATGATTTACTCAGCCCATCTTTTAAAATGTGTACAATATTTGAAAGATCCCAGAGTAGACATAAAAAATGCATGCATATGATAAAAAAGACACTAAAAGCAGAGGGAAAAGGTCCACTTAAATATTAAAAAAAAAATCCCAGGCAACCTTTGGCAGCTGATAGCATTTCCATCTTTCACTTGTCCACTTAATGTGTCAGAAGACCCAATGGACAAGTTATGCCTTGTGAGAAAGAGCAGGTCAGTAGGACTGCTGCAGAGCAAGCATGGAGATTCCCTTCAGTCAGTCTGCCCTTGGACGTGAAATTCAGCGTTCACACCTAACATTCCAGTATGGTAACAGGAGCCTGTACTTTTGAACCTGTGAACTAGTAAGTCTGGAGTTGTTTCTTCTAAAAAAGAATTATGAGTGCCTAAAGGGAGCTGTGAGATCTGCTGTGGACAAGGACGAAGGGACTCGTGCGGGAATGAACGATGGAGACTAAATGAACAAATAATAACTCTGCTATTATAAACATCATAATGTCCTTATCCTTTGGGGAAGCTCCTGTGATTTCATAAGATTACTTTCTTACCAGTGACAAGCCCAGAGTTCCCTACCTTTGAACTGTATCCCATAAAAGAATGTACAAGCTAAACAAGATGCTATATGCAGCCCTAAATGTGTCTGCTGAAATGAGGTGTTAGAGAGTAGGCATGTCATGGGATAAAGACTGTAAATGAATGATGTCATCTTTCCAATTTGGTGCTGAAATATAAATAAACCACGTTGTTCATGTGAATACCAGATCTGGGGGAAATGTACACAGAGCAATTGTGAACGGAAGAGGCTTCTTTTGATTAGTCTGGGCTGCAAAGAGAAGAGTGTGAAGCAGAGATGAAAAATGAGAGTTTGGTCTGATACTCTAGACCATTTTTATTTATCTTGAGTGTAACGTATCCCTTAAGCTGTGACCGATCTCCAGCAGGCTGGTTGCTGGTGTCCATGCCTACAAAACAGTTCGGTCAACCAGTCCTGTTCCTTTAACTGTTGTTGAAAATGGATCGCTTTTTGGTTATTATTATTTTTTTAAAGTCTGCCCTACCTATCCTCATTTCCACTCAATTGTAATCAATGGTTTAATTTCTAACAGTAAATGATCTGAAAGGATAAAAATAACACTTTCCAATGGTCAAGTGCAGAAAAACTGCAGGAGTGGTTTGCCAGGATTGGGATAAGGATGCCACTTGTTCAAGTAACTCTCAAACACGCTTGCAGGTGATCCCCCATGTAACAGTACATATCCATGCAGCCATTACAAATGCCCAAGGTCTTACAGCAGATATCCTGGGCAGTCATAACGAAAATCCCAGGAAAAGTAACAAGAGAACTGGAAAGACAGCTATTCCACACAGCACAGCAGTCAGGACCTGGGACTCCTTCAATGATTTACTGAAGCTCTATTTTATTCCCTTTGCAATATCAATGGTGACTGAGGCCTTTGACTAATCGCGTCATAGTCCTTTTTCCTCTGTGCTGTCATGGCCACCAAGATAAGTCTAATCAGATTTCATTTTCTGCCTCCTGTTTATTACTTGGTGTCTGCAGAGCTATTGCCTCCTAATAGCCCGCTTCTTGCCCCCTTGTCTCTCACTAAACGCACTCTGCATCTAGAATCATGTGAGGCACCTGTGTTCCCTGGTTTCAAATTCTTGTGAAGTTCTAACTGCCTTCAGGAAAACAGCCCTGCCCCACAATATGGCTGTCAGCCCTTTGCCACTGGACCATTGCCTGCTTATCTCTCTGGCCTTGGCTCCCATTCTATTCTGCTCCTCCTCCCATCTCGGGACATGCAGTTCTCTGTTTCTGTCATGCACTGAATTCTCTATCCTTTAAACCTAAGTTATACACATTAGATGTGCTCTTAGCGTCAACACCACTGCCCGCACACACGCTTCCCAATGCACCTCGTCCACTGGTTTCCACAGACCTATATCTGCCTCTGACCTCCTTCTGTCTCAGCATTTCTCTGAAAGCATGCTAAATAATTGCGTGTGCACTCGGCCTTCAGCACCACAGCACTGAAGTTGCCTCAAGGGAAGCACTGTGTCTGCACTACCTTTGTTCTCATACCTTGCAGAGCCCAGCACATAAACACTACATATGTGCCAGGTGAATTTATTCATTTACTCACAAACGAATAAATGGAGAGGGCACAGGCTTCTTTAGAACAGACGGGAGGGGCAGATACACAGAGTCCACCACATTCAGGTGAGTTACTCTACATGTC